GAAACAGAGAACGGTTGAAGGAGTCGTGATCTGAAGGCTTCTTTTGACTACCTCACTAATGCTTCCAGAGCTGCCCCATTTCCAGACCACAGCCCACCCTCAAAAGGAAGGATTTTCAAAGTAAATTATCACTGTGACACCTGTGTTAATCACCACTCAGGCACGCATTACCAATAGCTCAGAACCCGAGGCCAGAATAATTAACAACACACTGAAATGCAAGTTGTTTCTGTGGGAAATACAAGCAAAATCCTTCACATGTTTTTGGCAGAAACAACAACCCTGAACGAACGCATGGCTGGAAATCTCATTCTTTGTGAAAAACACCTGCACCTGAGTGTGCTTCCCCACTTGTGTCCTACTCTGTGATGCTTCTCTCTTCTGAAACAGCCTAAGACCCTGCTAGCACTGCTGGTCTCAGGAGGGAGGCTCTTTAATTTCACAGAGGAAAAGCGCTGCTCGTCGTTCTGTCTGCTTGTGAGCCAATGTTTTAGTTGAGGAAAGGTACTGAAAAAACTCACAGTAATTACAGTAAAGGTAGATTATCTCCACACACCATCTTAAATTATGATGCCCTACATTTTGGTACATTATGGGACCCTATCATTTTCCCAAAGCTCAGGAAGCAACTGCATAAGCAATGACTTCTCAAGCAGCAGAGACATGAGGTCAGTATGAAGACTTGGGATACGACCTGGCTGAGCAGTGATACCCATCCATGTCCTACAGATGGAGAATCCACAGGCTAAAGTGGTTCTGCAACTTCCTTAGCCACAAGCCAGGCTAAGAGCCAGCAAAAAACACAACCCCACATTCCAGTCTTCTCACTTGAACCCAGAAGCAGAGACCAATAAAACCTACTGGGAAGCAGCATCGTTACAATTCAGTCTCACCTGATGAATGTTGGATTCCTGCACCTTGATCTCCTGTGGACTGGATCGGGATGGATTCAAGAAATACCCATGATTCTCTACCACACCAGGAGTCTTTAGCAAGCAGGAGATATTTAAAATGACACCTAACAAAGTCTTCTGGTACATCTGTCCATTGCTAGGATCCTTGGGCTGAATATACCCTGCAAAAACCTAGGGAAAACAGTTGAACGTTGCAGCAGTCTAACTGAAATGCAGTCACCAAAGCTGCACTGTGAAGATGAATTGCTATAAATCAGAAGAGCACAAGATGTGTCACAGAAAAAAAAGAAAAACATCATTAAAAAAAGCAAAAATCAGCCATGAACAGAAAATTACAGGTACACTGGAGGTACCTGCTTCTAGGATCACTGTCTGCTTTCCTGCTGCCACGTGCAACCTCTTTTTCCACTTCTACCTCTTGCCTTTTTGAGTGACACTACAGAAGCATTCACTGAGCACCAGTGAGATGATACTACTCCAACCAGCTGGGTTTGCCCATAACAATTAAACAAGTTAACAGTCCTCAATAACTGAAGAGCACGCACCTTTGCTACGTCTTTCTGCTTTGTGAAGTAGAGGATCACGTCCAGGTAAGTGTACAGCAGGATCTGACAGAGGTCCAAGTCCTTGATCCTGCTCAATAAAATATCAAACACCGGCACCATGACCTCCCCAAACGTCCGCACTTCCTCATCCATCGTTAAGGCTTCAATGACCTCCTCCAGAAACTCAGTCATGTCTTCAAAATCTAGCAAGGCACACAAGACAATTACTGGCAATGTTCAGCACAGCCAGATCGTAGAGCATGCGCCCACTGCAACCTGAACACAGCCCTCCTCTTCGTCTTCCTTTTCATGACAAAGGGAGTCAAAGCTTTATCTGAGCCACAGTGCTGTTCTTGCTGCTTTTACCAGTGAGATACAAGAATTCAGAGTGCCTTTTAGAGCCACCTCCTCAGTGCAGTCAGGAGATCTCATTGTCATTCTGACTGCAAAATTTAAACTTCCACAGGGCCGAACACACTTGCAGAGAAACACAGCTCAAACAGAACAGAACCACTAACAGTAACCTCGCTAAGACATAAATTGAGTTCACCCAAACTTACGTGCTCCTCTCAATGCTTCCAGCATCAGGTCCACCAGCTGCTCATACACATTTTGGTTGACATAAATCTCTGGGGTGAGAAGAACAGTGTGAGCATTTGACACAGTCAGATTTCGGCAGCGCACAGCAAAGGGCAGCAAGTTCTCTGGAACCTTGGTTATCTGCACAGAAAGAATGAAACACATCTGAGGCTGCATATCCACCTCTTGCCATGAAAACATCAGCTTTTAGATATCAGCACTACCTTCTTTCTCAGAAACTCCTACCCACCTCTTCTCTTGCCCTCTGGAAACAGGCATAGAGGTAGCGTAGAATTTGTTTCTCCCCTGCATCTCGATCTGCAGAGAGATTCTGTGTGCCAGCAGAGGTCATGTAAATCAGGTTGTTCCCAGGCTCCTGCAGCAGCAGGCGGGTAAACAGCGCCTAGATACAAGTAAAAACAGCTTGAAAGTGAAACAGCTTCAGAAAGGAGAAAAATTACAAACAAACCAAACAGAAAAATCCATTATCTTTTAAAAACAGGCTAGGCACTTGCAAAGTTCTCCTCATCTGTCACCATTGCTACAGGACAACCTATCTCAAATAGAAGATACTAAATTCCCCGAGTGAGCTAGGATTTTAAGAGTTTGGCCAGTTACAACCAGCAAATCTCTTGTAGCACTGATGCAGACTCTATCTGGACAGCCATTGCTCTGCATGAGATATGAGGCATGCAGTTGTTATACCTGTTCGATGTTTTCCATGTCAAGCCAGTCTTGGTCATCCAGATCTGCAGCCATTTCTTCCAAATACACACAACGAGCTGGAATCCCATTTCCACTCTTCATGCTGGGGTCACCTAATGAGAACGTAAATAATCTGCTGTCCTGGTTGATAGAACATAGCTGCAGGAAGTGAAATCTACAAGCAGGATCCTGCCTGTGGCAAAGGCAGTCGTCTGCTACTGGCTGCTGCAGGGAAGCACTGCCCACCTCCCAGCATCCCTGTCCAATTTCACACAGATCTGACAAGCTCCTGTTTAAAACACATTTCATTAGGGAATCCAGCAAGGCATTTTTCTGCAAGCACAGAACCCACACCATTAGAAGCTGCACTCTTACACTGATATCACTTGTATAAGATGGTTTCGGGGTATTCATACTATTCATACTACATATTGGGCTACAGCTTGATACATCCTCACTAGATAAAGAGGAGGGAAAGGGGTGGTACAAGACCCCAAGCTCTCGGGGAGTTTCTCTGTTCACACCCTTGTCCCATGTGGCCCCACTTCGCAGGAGCAGCACGAGCTCCTCAGCACACTGGTGCCAGAGGTGCCACGCTGGTGCCAGTTTCGAGACATGCTAAGTGATGCTTCCATTTGCTGCATGCAGAGGACGACACTCAGAGCTGTTAACTCCCAGGATTGTTTTCAATGATAGAGGCAGAAACAGTCTTTCACAGCAGTTGCACAACATTGTTTTCTCTAACCCTCACAGGTGAAAAGCAAACACATAAGCTCTGTTCAAGGTTCTGGGAACATCAGATAGGAACCAGCTGCACGCTTTGAGGACACAGAGCTTTTCCACCTCGCATTCCTCCCAGCCTGTTTTACACCAGCATAAGAACCAGAGCAGAGCTTGCCGTCTGAGGAGGGGCCATGCCTCCTACTGTTCACCCAGAGAACACCAGCATCCCATCCCCCTAAGGCCCAAAGCAAGCCTTCACAAGGCAAGCCACATCAACAACCGCGGGACAGCACGAGCACTCACTGTTATCCAGAGTGATGAGAAAAATCCTTTGGATCATGTGATTGATGTTGAGCTGCTCGCACAGCTCCCTCTGGGAGCGGAAGGAGCGGCTGATCTCGGCCACAGAGTAATCACAGTCATCGAGGCTCTCGGACACGCTGTTGTCAGAGTCATCCTGGCTGGCTGAAGTTTCCTCTCCTGCAAAATAAAGCTCCTGAGCTTCTTCCTCAGCACTCCGAGCCGGGGAAAGGCTTCGCAGGATCACACGGCACCAGCCGGCAGCCCCCCGCCCGCTCCCCCGCCTCGGCCCAGCAGCAGACGGCCTCGCCCAGCCCCGCGGCCCGGCCCTGACCTGCCAGCTGCCGCAGCTGCTGCTTCTGACCGGCGGCGAACTGCTTGGCGTCGGCGAGGGAGCTGAAGAGCGCGGCGAAGGGGTTGCCGGAGATGCTGTTGTTGTTCTCCTGATCGGTCATCTCCACTCAGCGCCGCGCCATGCGGGCCGGGCCGGGCCGACCTGCTGTGACGGCGACGAACCGAACGGAACCACACCGGCCAGGCCCGGGGCCGCCGCGCTCACCCCCTGCTCAGCCAGACAGCGGGCGTCACCGCGTCGCACTCTACTGACGTCATCATCGAGAGCCGGAAGTTGGGCGGGAGGGATTAAAGAGTCGCGCGGTGCTTTAGCGCCCCCTGGCGTCTAGGAGGGCTTCGGCATGTAAACAAACGCACCGGTGCAACCCGCATGCATTAATTAGCTAATGAATTAGCTAATGTTGGAATTCGCACATTTATGCACAAGCCGTCAGACCTGATATTGATTTATGGATGTCTTGCATCGGCATCACTGTCCCTTGGGATGTTCCAGAATCGTGGGGATACAGTGCTTGGGGCTGTGGTTTGGTGGCACAGTGGGGATGGGCTGCGGTTGGACTCGGGGATCTCAGAGACCTTTTACGACCTTTATGATTCTATATGTGTGCATTGCAACTTTCCCCCAGCCCCATCCCGTGAGGCCTCGTCCTGGTGCCATTGCCCCAGTACCACTGGCCCAGTAGCACTGCCTTGGCTGAGGGCTCAGGAAGGGAAGAGCTCTGGGAGCAGCCCTGGGCACAGCCCCGTGTGGTTCAAGCCACCACCAGACACTGACATCACCATCGTCATGAACAGGTTTTAATGTTCTGCTGAGGGGTTCTTTGCCCCGTGATACAAAACCAAAGCTCTGCGGTCGCACTGAGCCTCGATGTCCGCCCGCTCAGGACCCGCAGGGCTGCGGCAGCAGCTCCCAGCACAGGCTGGGTGTGGAGCGGTCCTGGCGCTCCAGCTCTGCCATCTCCTGCATCTCCCTGGCACTCACTGCTGGGGTCTGCACCTCGAAGGTCAGCTCGAAGCGGCTGTAGTCCACGCGGAAGGCGCCTTTCTCCAGGGACATGCAGGGTTCGAAGCGGTACCCCCACAGGATCTCGTCCTCGGTGTAGGAGGTGCGGGCCTGGCACGTCATCCCTGCGGCAGGGACATGGCGAGAGGCGGTGGTGGGCTTTGCACCATGCTAACACAGGTGGCCACCCGCAGACCCCGCTCCCTGTCCCTCGCGCCCGGCTCTGCCTGACCCCTGCCCACAGCATGGCTTCAGCAGCACTGGGCCTGGCCCCCCACAGGGCTGCGACGGAGCCACCCCGACCCCTCCTCACTCACCCGTAGCTTCCACAATGCCCTCGAGGATGATGATGATCTCAAACTGCTCCCTCTTCAGTGACTCTGCCGACAGGTCCCAGAAGGGGCTGTGCTGGTTGATGACGTGGCAGATGATCTGGGGCTCCACCAGGAACAACCTGTCCTCCCCTGTATCGTAGCCTAAGTTCAGCTCCGACTGCTCCAAGGGGATGAACTCCCCTTCTTTGGTCTGTCGGGATTTGATCAGCTTGGCTCTTATTTTTGCATCCACCATGTGGCTCTCCCGGAGGTCCCCGATGCGGAACATCAGACAGAGCTTCTCGTCCCTGTGGGAGATGACACAATTTTTGCTGAAGATTAAGGTCTGGGCACGCTTCTTGGGCCTGGAGATCTTGACAAACATGCACCCCACCATAAGGGCATCAATCATGGACCCGATGATGGACTGCGCCATCAGCAGGATGACGCCCTCAGCGCAGTTGGCTGTCACGATCCTGGAGCCGTAGCCAATGGTCCTCTGACTTTCCACAGAGAAGAGTAAGGCAGATATGAAATTGTCCACGTTCTCGATGCACGCCTTCCACTCTGGGTCCCCGATGTGGTTGACGTCATCCCTTATCCACGCGTCAAAGAAATAGATGGTGCCGAAGACAAGCCAGGTGACAATATAGCACATCATGAAAACAAAGAGAAACCAGCGATACTTGAGGTCCACAATAGTGGTGAAAATGTCCGAGAGAAACCTCTTCTTCTCCTGGATGTTGCCCAGGTTCACTTGGCACTTGCCCACTTTGGTGACGTAGCGCTGGCGCCGCTGCTTGCCGGCCAGACCCAGCGGCCGCTCGTCCTCTATCAGCTTGCAACGCCGGCTCTGCAACCTCTCAGAGGCAGGGATGGAGACGATGCTGCGGTTGGGCGTCCTGCTCTGTGTGGGGCTGAGGATGCTGGGCACGCTGCGGTTGTGCCGTGGGTACCAGCGAGAGGCGCCGTCACGCAGCACAGGCGGGTGGTCTTGGCGTGAGGCCCGGCGGTGCTTGGGCACGTCGCTGGTGGTAATGGAGACACTGGGCCAGCGCCTGGTGGATCCCATGGCTTCCGAGTCTACACAGCTCTGCGTGGGAGCTGGGTCGCTAGGAACATCGGTGCCACAAGGTGAAAAGAGGTCGTTTGGAACCAGGACACTTCTCTCAGCAGCAGCATCTGCGAGAAGCACGGGGGCAGCTGGGACTTCGGGCTGTAAAGGGAAAGGCTCCAGTCAGCATTAAACCACCCTCCTCGTGCTCCGCGCCGTCACGCAGCACGGCGAGGCCGTGTGGCCCTACCTTCTGGGGGAAGGTGCCATAGCGGCTGGTGTCGGTGGGTGGCCGTGGCAGGTAGGCCAGCATGTGCCTGGCGGTGGGCGCCTGCGTGGGTGGGATGGAGTTCCTGCGACCCCAGGGCTCCTCACGTGGAAGCCAGGTGCTGCCCACGCTGTTGTGGGTGCAGAGGCTGTGCTGAGGCTCCGTGCTGCTGCTGGCTGGAAGCACCGCGGCCATAGCGCAGCGTGCTGTGGGAACAGAGCGGGGTTGTCAGGTGGAGCTGTGGGGTGTGTGAGCAGTGCAGGGTTGGGATACTGGGGGGGGTATTGCTTGGTCCTGCTCACAGCTCCTTGGGGCTGTGGCAGGTGAAGGATGTTCATGTGAGGGAAAGGTTGGGCACCCGCACTGTCGTGGGGCTGTGAGCAAGCACGGAGGGAAGCAGTGCTCCCCACTGGGGTGCCTCAGCCCTGCTTGCTCCATGCCCCTTTCCTGCACTGGGATGCGGTCACAGTGAGAGCACTGTGAAAATCCCACAGCCCTGGGGCTCCTCAGGATGAAACAAAACCGTCACTAACAGAAGCCCCCTTTGAGCCTGAGTGCTTTGGAAAGTAGTCCGTGGGTGAGAAACAGACCCAAAGCCTTCACCTGTACTGCTGATGTCAAGACAGCCCCAGCACATTGCCTGGCCATCATCTCCCACACACTTGAAGAGTCGATGTTTATTTTAATACAAGTTTTCATTGAAAGGGAAGTTGAATGTGACCCAAAGAGCTACTTCAAAATGCAAACAGCAGCCCTGAGCAGAGCCGGAGACAAGGCTGGAGCCCATCCCAGCTGCAACCCGCATACGGTGCACCTGCACTGGGGTGTCATGGGCTGGGGAGCATCTCTGCAGCCCTCAGTGCAGCTGCAGCTGCTGCTAGGAGTGTAGCACAGTGCCACCCCTATGCATGCACTGGGACAGGATGTGCTGAGTGCGGGAGCACTGCAAAGAGAGGCAACGTGCAGCAGGCAGACCTGGGGGAGAATCCCAACTGCGAGGGCCCTGGGGATCTCTTGGAGGAAGTGGGTTATTAATCTGAGTCCCACCTAAACCATAATCCCGTTAGTTGCATTTCTGCAGCAGCTTTGGCACAGTGCTGCTCTGGGCATGGGGCTGTGACACAGAGCAGGGGGAATGCTGACCCTGCAGCCATCCAAGAGCAGGCAGCGTGGCCCCTCCCACTGTGCATCCATTGCAGCTGGTACCCAAAGCACCCAAACTCTCTGGGGCGGGTGCTGAGGGCCACCCTATCCTGCCGTATCTCAGTCAGGTGATGGAGCTGAGCTGGGCAGGAAGCACCAGATGGCTAAGCCAATTACTTGCCCTAATTGCATTGCACCACCTGGGGATGGCTTCCTCCCTTTCAGCCCACTTGTGCAGCCCTCAAACTGAGTGAAGCAGGCACAGCCTCCAACGGTCACTACCTGCAGCTTGTTCTCTGGAAAACAGCTTTAACACCACCCGGAAACATAACTCGGAATGGGGAAGCCCTGCCAGGCACAGGATCCAGCCCTGTGGGGCACACGGTGTGGGGGTACCTGGCTGGCCGAGACTCCTCCTCGTCAGCGGGCTGCAGCCTCACAGCAGGACCGGCCCCAGCACGGCTCCAGGCGCTGGTCCCCCCTGGGACAAGGCGAGGGGCGCTGCTGCCTCATCCAGCATCCTCTGCCCCGGCCGCTCGGTCCTGGCGCGGGCGCTCCGTCCGTCTGTCGAGCAGCGCTGGGGCCCACAGGCTCGGCTCTTGGGGCAGCTGGATAGAGAAGTTACAAACAGACAAATTCTGCCACGGAGCGACCCTGCTGCAGGGTAGCACGCACGCTCCGGGCAGCTCCAAGCCTCTGCATGGGAGCATCCTGCAAAAAAAACCCACACAAACAACCCATCCCAGCTGCAACCTGCAGGAAAAATGAATAAAGGAGAGGGAAGGTGGAAATCAATCACTGCTCAGCACAGCGCTGAGCACTGTGCTGTGTCTGCACTGCCCGGGCCAGGCTGTGAGGATTGGGCTAATGAGCCCACTTCCTGGGGGAAGTGTGTTATCTCAGAAATAATTATCTGCTTTAATTATTCCTTTCCTCTGGCAGCGCAGAGCAGACATCTGTACACCCCAGGTGCGGGGCTGGGGAAGCAGCAGCAAGTGCAAGAGCTGCAGGAGAGCACACAGGTTTGGAGGACTCAGCTCCTGTAGGCAGAGCAGCAGCAGATCAGTGGTGAGACTCTTTGTAAAGTCAGGAAGTTCTGAAAATTCTGAATCCCTGAATTTTAAGATAATTTGGAGTTAGACTAGATAATGTCTCGAGGTTCCTTCCAGCTTAAACGATCCCATGATTTCCCTTGATATGCTATAGCAACAGCTCCTGCCAATTGCTTATATTTAGTTTTCCCAAACTGTGTGTAATTCCTGTAACACTGTGTGAGACTCATGGGTGTGAATTCTGGATGCCTGCACCCAGTGTCCAGTGTCCTACAAACACTGCGCTAGTAGAGATGCCCGTGCATGGAGCTCTCACCTTCAGAATGAGGATGAGAGCAGTACTGCAGCACCGCTGTCTGTCACTGAGCCGCCCCGCCTGGCACTGCTGCTGTCCTGCTCCTGCAGGGATGTGTCTCATGGTCCCATGGCTGCTGCCCCATCCCACAGCACGGCTCCCAAACACTTGGTGATGCCCAGCAGCCAGCACAGAGCAGTTGGCCTCACGGATACCCCCAGCACTGTGCCCCTGCCCCATCCCTGCCCGTCTTCCCCTGGCCATGAACCCCCGCGCTTGCAGTACCTACCGCATCTCCAGACACAGCCCCTCGGCCTCCGCCTGCCCCTACAGCTGCTCCTGGACACCAACCTGTCTGCCCCTGGGCATCTTCCCATCAGTTCTGGGGGGGAAATCCCTTCCTGGCTGTGCCGCAGAGCTTAGGAGAAGGAAGGCGAGCTTGGCACGTCCTCCAATCCTGCTCCAGGAGAAGAAGGTCACTCACTAATCCCCCTCAATGACGGGCAGCATTACCTCAAGATGGTTTAATTGGAAGGGCTGGGGGCAGATGCGCTGCGGAGGCTTGGCGAGGGCATTCCCTGCTGGAGGATCCCAGCCCTCACCCACACCATTCCCCCTAGTTTTGGGGATGGGGTCATCAGCAAAGGCTTCAGGCCATTCTCTACATCTGTGTGGTTTCCTCCGTGTGTGTGAGCCATTAACTCAGTGCCCAGCGCACCTTGTCCTGCAGAACCCAGTCAGCACATCTCAGGGCCACACTCTGTGCTATATTTAAAGCCGGATCCCTACAGCACGAGGGTTAAAGATAGCAAAAGGCAACACCAAGATTATAAATAGTGCTCAGGTCCAGCCTGACGTGGAGTGACCAACACGGCACGACACAACTCCACCAGCTGCACTCGTGACTGCAGCGCTCGGCTCAACCTGCTCCTCTTGCAGGTGACACAGCTGTCCCCAGCAGGACTGCAGCAGTGCAAACAGCGGCCACAGACAGTGCCTGGGGGCAGCCTGGAACCGGTGGGACCACGGGACCGTGCTCAGGGCAGGCAGTTCCCAGACATCTGAATTTCCCACAAAGGGCAGAAAGCGGCGACCGTGCCCAGCTGTAGGGCTCTGATGGGAGGATGCAGCAGAGAAGCCCTCAGCCGGCGCTGAGAGATGGCAGCAGGATGTGTACCCAAGGGATCAGGCTCCCCATCCCTAGAGCAAATAGGTGCTGCTGTCCTCACACCTTTTTTAAAGGCCTCCAATCATTGCGTGCCAGGAAAGCGGCAATGAAGCGGTGCTGGGGACACGGAGGTCCTCCTTGTGACCACCACTGTGCTAAGGAAGCAGCAGCAATTTCCCGGCCTTGCCCCCTCATATCCTTCTTGGTAACAAAGCAAGCAGATGAGCGAGAGATTAGTTGCTAATCCCCCCATGAAGATGAATCTAAAAAGCTGGACCTGGGGCTCATGCATGTGGCTGGGCAGGAACAGATGGGAAGTGAGTGTCATCAGAAGGTTACAGCTTTCCTCCTCTCGTTTTTCCCCTATCTTTTTTACAGCAGCCTATTTTCTTGCAGCAACGCTGTTCCCCAAGTGACATCCCAGCTCTGCCTCCATCCCATCTCCCCTGGATAACCCCTGGGAGCGGCTGCTCCAAGCGCAAATGTTTGCAAAGCACTTTTGAGGATGAGGAGGAGGGTATAAAGTCCAGCCCCATTGCAACACGGAAACTTTCCAGGATCTCTGCCTCCTGGAGCAGGGACCCAGCACACAGAGCAGTCTGTGGGCCGCTGCTCCTCCATGGGAGCCTCAGGGACAGCTGGCAGCACCTCTCACGGTGTTTATTTAAGGGCTGAAAGAGGGTTGGGGCCTTAAATCCCCCTGGGAAGAACCCAGGCACCACATGCTCTGCCCACAGCCCCTCTCTCCCCTGCCAAACCTGCAGCTGTTCTTGCCAACTCTCTCCTCAGGGTTCCTGGGGCTCAGGGGATTTGCGTGCTTCTTGCTTAACCCTCCTGTGTACAGCACGGGAGAGGCAGCACCCGCTGCAGCCCGTGAGATGCATTTGCCTTAAAGCAATGCTGCCCGCACACGGGGACAAAACCCTTTGTTTCATGGACACGTCCTCTCCCAGGAGCCAGCCCAGAGCATCCCCCAGTTTGCAGGGATGGGGTGGTTGGTGACACACACGGAGCAGGGCCGTGCTAAAGCACTGCACTCAGTGGAGAGGTGGGGGAGAAGGAGCAGAGTGCGAGGCCGACGATGGCTTTCAGAGCAGCCTTGCTCTCCGTTGCACCCAGTTTTTCCTGCCTAGCCAGCGGTGCCTTCTTCTATCGCAGCAAAACCAACAGGACATGAAAATGATCGAGGCCACACCCAGGAATTAGAGGTATAAGCCTGACTTTCCCCACACACAACTCCTCTGAACAAACAGCAGCGCTCTGACCGTGACCGCCAACTGAAACGGTGTGTTCATGGAAATCCACACCACAAATACGCAGCTCCAAAAGTGTTAATGCCAAAAGCCTTCTGCTCACCTCAGCTTATCTCAGCCCCAGCAGCGGAGCCGGCACACAGCTCGCAGGAGCCGTGTGAGTATGGCGTGGAGCTGCAACGCCAGGGTCCAGGTGGGCGCGATGCTGCTGGCGCTTTTCGGGTGGGTCTCGTCCTGCGTCACCACCTTCGTGCCCCTCTGGAAGAACCTCAACCTGGATTTGAATGAACTGGAGATCTGGACCATGGGGCTGTGGCAGGTGTGCATCATGCAGGAGGAGGGGGCCACGGAGTGCAAAGCCCACGACTCCTTCCTCGCCTTGCCGCTGGAGCTGCGCGTGTCCCGCGTCCTGATGTGCCTCTCCAACGGGCTGGGGCTCCTGGCTCTCCTCTTTGCCAGCGTGGGCTTGGACTGCTGGAAGACGTGTGAAGGAAAACCCAATGCCAAGAAACAGCTGCTGCTGGCTGGAGGAGCAGCGTTCGGAGCGGCGGGGATCACCACTCTCGTGCCCATCTCCTGGGTCGCCTACACCACAGTCCTGGAGTTCTGGGACGAAGCCGTTCCTGACATCGTCCCGCGGTGGGAGTTTGGCGAGGCGATGTTCCTGGGGTGGTTCTCCGGGTCCTTCCTCGCAGCAGGTGGGCTGCTTCTTATCTACAGCACCTGCCTGAGCCGGACTGCGACGCCCGCTGCACCTCCAGCCACCCGCCCGCTGCGGCCAGCAACACACAGCCCAGCCACGATGTCACCGTGGAGCCACCACTCACACCCCAAAAACGCCGACCTGGTAATCTGAGACTGCAGGTTTTGGCTGTCTGGATTTCAGAGACGGTTCTCACACGTTAAGGGATGATTTGCTGATTCCTAAGACTGTTCGTTGCAGCTTGGTTTTCTTCCATCTGTGTCTGCCTGCTTCACTTTTTGTGGGTTTGTTTTTTTTTTTCCCTCCCCTTTTTCCAAGCAATACTTACAAACTGAGCCCAGTGCTGTAAGCCAAGGAGGCAAACACAGGGCAGTAAAGAGCACTTTGTATTTCTGGCTACATTTGCAGTATACTCACTGATTACACTGTGTTGGCATTCCCTGGGAATCCCCAGTGGCCGGGAATGTAATCGCTGTAAGACCTCTGTCTGTGCTGAAAAGCTCATCCTTGAATGTCCATTTCACTTTGATGTATTCTAAATAAATTATTACAGCTATTAGCAGTATGTTTCTGTGCTCTGAGAGCAGAACATCCTACGTGGGATGAGCGTTTGATGATGAGAGCATAGGAAGAGCGGGGACGAAGGGTGTGGGCTCTAGGGAACAAAATCACTGCTTGGGTGGCTGTTCATTGAGCAAAGCTTAGGGAGAAAGAGAAGGATGGAGGAGAGAGGAGGCAGAAACATGAGCTGATGGCCATCCGCAGAGTTGATCAAGTCACAAAAGTAGCAGCAGCCTTCATTTAGAAGGTTCTACAGTGGAACTCTTTACCTGGGCATCAAAGGCAAAGATCAGAGAAACCACAGAAAGATGCTATTTTGTGGGTGCCTGTGAGGATCTCCCCATTTCCTTGATTCCGCTCAATAAAAGAAATTAAGCCTGCTTTTACATTTGCTCTCTGCTCCTAACGCTACACCAGGCTGAGCTAACAGACTGCAGGAAACCCACTGCCACAGTGCTATTCCAGAAGGGAGCTCACTGCTGCTTTAACCTGGCAGCGCCAAGAGCCACAGCAGCACAGCTGAAAGAAAGGAAACCTCCGCCCAACAGCAGCGCTCCTTTGGGAACCAAAGTTCACTGCTCTTCAAAAGCCCCGTTTTGAAATCCGCACTTTGGTCCAGCGAAGAGTCAAAAATAGAAGTGGGGAGAGAGAGAGAGAAAGAAAAGAGACCATTCCCAAACATTTGTCAGCCTGAGGAGGGATTGCTGGGGGCACAGCTCAGCTCAGAGGGACCAGCAGTGCCATAGCAATGGAGCGTGCACCACGGAGGGGCCAGAAGGGCAGCATTCTTGCCTGATGAATGCACTTCTCAGACACAAACGTGTTTTTTTTTTCCTGAGTTACACAAACCCACAAAGCAGAGACTCTATTTTGACTTGAACTCATCACCCGCGCCCTGAAGACACAGCAGGGGGAGGGAGAATGATGGCAAGATGCTGAGCAAAGGTTTCTTCTCAGCGCCAGTAGCTCCTTCTTCCACACCTGATCCCAACTCTCATGGCTTCATAGCCCTTGTTCTTTTTTTTTTTTGGCTTATTTGTTGGGATATTTTAATTTTGGCAGCAACAGAATAGGACCAACCTTGTGAGCTGTCTCCCCAGCCAACATCCCGGTCACCTGGAACTCAGAATGTCTTGGAATGACACAATATTGCAAAACTTATCTTGAAATTGTGGCCATTTCCTTGCCGTGAGCAAATGACGGAGAACGTGGCACCAAAAACGTTGCATTCAAACCCTGGAGCCCTAAGGAATAAATCAGAGCTCCCATCATTTCAGGGTCCCCTCCATCACAGCAGCATGGAGCGAGGTAGCAAGGCTGAAAAAGCAGCAGCTCTGTGACAGCCATCAGTTGCAACAGGCTTGGCTCACTTTTTACACACACATAGCTTGGGTTTCTACAGATAATTGTTCCAGCTTTAAGGAGAACTCAAGATAAACCAACTCCCATAGGGGTTAGTTATTCCTCTGTAGGAACTGATGGAGCAGTGGGACCCAGTTGACAATTTCATTCAAACCACAGATCTGCTCATTACTACCAACGCTGCACCAAGAAGTCCCACGAACATCTGTCTTCAATTTGTCCAAAAACACCCACATGTATTTCTCTCCTTTCCTCCTCAGCTGCTGAAAAGAATCTGCATTTTCTCAGCACAATGACAGAAGGTAAAGGCTCCATTATAATGTAGGACCACGTTAGCAGCTCAATATGCAATTAAATGTTTCATTTCCCCAATTAACGGGGAAAATACTCAGAGATTTTGGCTGCTGAAAACATGGATTTTTTCCTCCTCTTTACTAACTCAATGTGAATGCACTATTTCCTACTGCTTGCTTTGGAAATCAGATCCCCTCCCTCAAAAACAACACCAGCTAACAGAGGGCGACTTGCAACACGACTGAAAAAGGAGACTTCAGGAGAAACCAGCAAGCACTGATAACCAGCAGAGGCATTTTCTCAGCACCATTTGCAGGAATATAGGACAAAGGAGGGGAAACAGAGCTCCTTGCAGCTCCAAGGGAAGCACAGCCCTCCCCAGCACCAGCCAGCACGCCGTTATCTGCAGACACAGCAGGGCTGGGCTGGTGGCCTTCAGTTACAGCAGCACTGAACGTGAACCCTTGGTCACACTGCTCAATCTGAATAGCAGAAACAGAGAACGGTGAGACAGAAAACCAGACAGAACTGTAACCCAGAGTGCAGCTCAGTGTCCCTGCTGTAGTTAATTAAAGAGCCCTTCAGATCGGCACCAGCACAGAGGAGGCTCAGTCAGATGCATCACAACCTGTGCTCCCACTGTGGCATGCGTTGGCTAATGGAAGCATCAGCCACAGACCAGACGAGCTGCAGTGCACACATGAGCCGTATTTCACCCCGGGGCACAGCATGACCTGGCTGCTCTGGGTGTCACAACGACGTTAAGGCACTGCTGTACATTTCATTGGAATTCCTGCCTTCTCAGGGCTGAGCTGAAGCTGTCAGGTCTGAAGAGCACACGAAACTCTGTGGTCACAATCACTGCACTCAACTCTTCCTCTGTCAAAGCATACAGAAGTCCCCCATGCTGTCCCAACAGCAGGAGAGAACTTTGAGCTCCCAAGCACTTCACTGCCATTGCAGAGGCCAAGAGGAACTGTCAACCACAGCACTGCAGAGCTACCAATGCTCACACCTGGAGCTGCATTCAAGGACAGACATTCCTGCATTGCTTTGCCAATGGGTTTCTTTTCCTCTGCTTCCGCTTCTTTCTGCTGAAGCCAAGAGGAGCCCTGAAGGTGTAACAACAGAGGGAAAAAAAAAAACAACAAATAACACAAAAACACACAGAGGGAACTTTTTCATTCTAACATAGAACAAATGCTTTTATTGCACTTTTAGAAAAACTGCATAGTCCTAACAGGCTTCCTCTTCCACCTACTCAGAATGTTTGGTTTAAACAACTGTCAGAGTTCAAACACAGTCATAGGCTGCCTGCAAAAGGAACTCCAAACGAGGCATAATTTATTTCTTACAGGAAGTTAATTAAAAAGAAAAAGGGGCTGATTCTAGGCCTTGCAGTTACCATCACTTATCTAGCACTGAATATCCACCACAGATGCGATGGAAGTTCACTTTCCAACCCAGGAGGGTAACACACTCTGGGGGTTATGCCCTGAACCAGCCAGCTAACACCACAGCACCCATAAAGCCTCCAGCTCTGTCCCATCTCCTGTCACTGCCATTATTTGATTTTGCCTTTCTCAGAGGAAGAATCCTGCTTTTCTTTTGCCAGTTAGAACACAAAAGGGAAATGCTTGTTTAACTTAAGTTGCACGCGTGACTGCACGCAACACACAGAGCGAGCGCTGCTGTTCCTCTCAGACAGAAGTTTGGCAAGATCTGAATATATAATGCAGCTAATAATTTAGGAAGATGTAAACGTGTCTGATGGATCAACAACAGCCAATAGTGCTCACCAGGCATACCAAACTGTTCCTCTGTTGATGTCATTGCCAGGGATGTGTGCTTGCTGGGCAGCGTACAAAGTTGCCACAATAGAAAAAGTGTCCTGGCCTGGTCCTAGGAAAACAAGCCAGGTGGAACTGCCAGGTACCTACTGTGCCATATTAGTACAGTGGTTCATGTCCTTTGCATTCTCACTTAACATCTTATCTCAAAAGTGCAATATTGCTTTTCATTCGCTCCTATTTACAAAGCACACAGGTCTCAACACGAAATCACCTCTTCCCTCTCTGAACACCTCCTGGCGGGAGGACGCTGTGCACCGATGCTTCACAGTGTGCCACTCCGAGGTGCCAGCTCTGCCATCTACTTCACAGTCACAGTCGAGGCGTCATGGATGGACTCCATCACTGCTGCAAAGCGGCTGCAGAGGTCGTATGGGGAGTTGGGACGGATCTTTGGGGGCTCCTTCAGCACCACCACCTCCGTGGAGCCGTCGAGCAGGCGGGGGAGCAGCTCGCCCAGCCTGATCTGCAGGCTCGCTGCAGGAGGAGGAGGATACAATCAATGGGACTGGAACTGAAATATGTGCTGAAAAATGTGCTACAATACTGATTTCAAGATCTTAAGGAGGTGTTTTAAGCAGTCCCTTCGTTCCTTTCTAATTAAGACCTAGACACAGCCCTCAGAGCACACCAACAGCATGGATAAGGTAATGCAGGTGGCCGTTCACCATTCCCTACCGTCCATGTCTTCTCGTCCCAGATAGGAGCACCAGCGGTTTCTCATGACCTCGATGGCATCCATGTCTTCTCTGGAGATGTCAAAGTTGTTAATGAGGTGCATACAGGGGATGATCAGCTCATTCAGGATGCTAATGCCCTCTGCCACATGAGCTTCCTCACAGCTTACAAATAGAGCCGATGCCACCTCATTCAGCTTCTAGGAGAGGAGAGAGAATCTGAGAAAGACCTTTAGGAAGCAACCACGGTCTTCTGAGAATCAGCATGCTGTCAGAAAAGGCACAGAGCTCAGTTCCTTTCCATGGACAGCTGTGCAGCACAAAGTCAAACAGAACCAGGTGCTGGGCTCTGCTAGGTTCTGGAGAAGCAACTACTGTTAGTCAAAGCAATCATACTTCAGAAAACAAA